ACGCTGAATCTGAAACAAACAGTTTTGAAACTTGATACAAACAAAAAAATGGACTAATTTTTTGCAAGAAAGTAGGTCATCGGAAAAAAATGAAACTTCTCCGTTTAAGAATTATTCCAAAAGAATAAAAACAGTTATATTCATGATCAGCTCGTCTACTCTATTTAACCATATATAAAGTAACAAGAAAACAGTTCTGCTTTAGTTCTGCATTTCCGACACCTGTCATTAGTTGTTTTCCTATTGTTTAACTGTAATTCCACTGATTTCAAATCAGCCACATTACTTTATTTATTCTCTGTCAAACCTTGTCTCATAAATACAATGAATAAATATGAACTCAAATACGTGGATCGATAGTCGATTGAAAACTCTATAAATCTATCGATAATATCTTCTTTTTGTTTTTTACAAAGCTTTATTTTAATTTTGTGATAATAATGAAATATTTTACAACGCAAAAATCGATCAAAAATAGGTATTTCTAGGTCACAATTTTGACCATCTCGACAACTATTGACAAATGGGCAGTAATATATGTCATATCACAAAATCTTAACATTACCTTAAAAGAAAACTGTTTAAGTATAGTATTGCATTTTGTGACATAATGAACGAGTGAATATTATTCATTAAACAGTATATGGGATGGCCATTTTTCTGATCACCCAAAAAAGATACTTTTGATCACCAGGTTTTTTAAAATGTCTTGATGCTGCATCATCTAATCCTCAGACGTCATGTTCAACTTGGTTAGACGTTAATATTTCTCGTCATTGGGTTACATTTAATGAGTTTTTGGTGTGGCTACGATCTTGCTGGTTGGCTGTTCCATTAGAATCATGTGCTTGTCCGGTTAGACTCAAAGACTACTCTTGTAAGCATTCGGTTGGTTTAGGAATTCTATTCAATTTATTCCAAGTGAACGATAAGACATGTGGTGAACAGTCAGGTAAATGAAGAAGAAAAGGACGTCCCAAGAAAGCTAACACAGCTTACGGTAAATAGATATGTGAATAAAGGTTTGAAGTATTCCTTGTCTATTTATTATTTCAATTATTTTTTTTTTGGATATTATACTTTTTTGGAGAAATAAATATGTTAGATGAATGATGAAAAATCTGATGATCAAAAGTAAGTTTTCTCGGTGATCATTGGTATCTAAAATTGGGTGGTTTTCAAAACTATTTTTTTGTCGTCAGGATTGTATCTTAAATTGTTTGGTGATCAAAACTATTTTTTTATGGTGATCAAAGCACATTTTTTCCGTATATATGAATATCTAATTAACGTTCTCTTTTCTTATTCTTTTTTTTTCTGTCTGTTCTACTTCAATTCTGTCTTCGGTCAACATATCGGCTCGTCGTCTTTTCTCTGCTAATTTAAGGGATTTTTTTTCATATACAAAATTTTACAAAGAAGAAGGTTATTCAAGATTTTGTTTTTTGTGCTTGTTGTATAAAATCTGGTTTCACTTAATAATCTATTCATTGGTTTTACTTCATTGGACTCAAAAAGTAAATCCTATCTAACTGATAAGAAAACGATTCCTTCTAAATGACTCTTTAACGATCAATAGTCAAAGCACGCTTTATTTCTACATTCTATGGTCTTTTTAAATTATATTTGCAGGCTTTGTTTAGTCTTTTTTGTATGATTTTATCAAAACTTTATATATGATGATACGAAAGTATACTTACTATTGGAATCATGTTGAAATATATGAGCGTTGCCTTCTGATCACTCTCAATGACCTTTGATACGATTATGTTGTTAACAAAAAAATCCGTTGTTTTTCTTAATTTTGCTTTCTTATGATTATCAATGAAGCATGACATCTTCACAAGGTAGTCAACATTTTGTGTAAGGATACGAGTGTAACAGCAAGCGTACTGTTTTCTTTTTCTTTTTTGTTCTTCATATTTTTTTTTCTTCCTTTCGTTTGTTTTTATTTTTATAATAGACAAACTATGTGTTGATATTACAAGATTCAAGCGCATGATAATCGATTCTCAACAGGACATTGATCGATATAGTCATTTTCTATTATCTTTTTTTTTCGAATTTGAATAGTTAGTAAGAATCAGTGCCAGTTTTGGGTCAATTTATGCTATCTAGACATCTCTCTGTAAAATTGGAAAAAAATCACTCTAGGAATCATTGCACGCTAATAACAATCTATTCTGATCAATTAAGATCATGGATTTCAATACAATTTTGTATCAAAGTAGATATAATGCAGTTTAACTTCAATTTTACATATATTACTAAAATTTTCGACCTTTATGAATACGGTCATCATCAGCAATAAGGCATCATTTGTGATCTTGAGTTTATTTTAAACAAACAAAGAACAAGTGTTGGAACAAAACTAACACAACCATAGCCGTATTACCATACACAATAAAAATATCCATGTAAACATAACCATAATACAAATAACATTCATCAATTAAACCTGATCAGGTATATATGAATATCTTTAATTGACGAAAAATAATACTTCAAGCATTTAATTCTTCAATAATATAATCAATAAATAAAAAATAAAATCTTGAATGATCGTAATAATATATCGAAGTAAATAAGATGCAGTTTAACCTAATATTTTGTTGTTCTAGTTCTTTTTTCCAACAGTTATTGTTTTTTTGTTTAAAATAAACTCAAGGTCACAAATAATGTCTTATTGCTGGTGGTGAACGTATTTATAAAGGTTAAGAATTCCAGTAATACATGTAAAATTAAAATTAAACTGCATTTCATTTACTTTGATAGATCATTGCTATCATTCAGGATTTCATTTCTTATTTATTGAATACAACTTTGCTTTTATGCAGCTCCGAATGAGATGTGAAAAGGTCAAAAACTTTAGCTTCTAAAATCATTTCCTTGTTAAGGTATTCAATCCATGATAGAAGCATGCTGAAATATAAAATGAGTGTAATTATTGCAGTACTCATGTATTGTATATTTCACTGTTATTTAGCAATAATGCTTTTAGTCTTGATATTTTCTAACGCGAAACTATCGTAGATACTCTACATACTGACATACTTAGAACTAATTTTTTACGTGTTAACTCCTACAGAAGTACTTCAGAGGTCTTAGATACGACGAGAGACTTCTGGGATTTATTTTTCTAGAGAATTTATTCACCTATTGAGGTTTTATCAATTATAATGACATGTCAGCACACCAAAATCCACCACTCACAACTTTTTTTCTGATATTTTCCGTATAGTAAAATATAAAATAACTGGATTAATTTATGTTGATAATGTGTAATAACCATTGAGATGTTCGTTACTCATGAATTTTCAATTTCACATGAATTTGCAGTAGATAGTAAGTTTGTATGATCAACACTTTTAAAAACAAGCGCGGAAAGTTGATTTTAATATACAAAGAATATATGAATGAAGTGTTTATTTTCTAGATTGAGTTGGATCGAGAAACTTGAATATTACCATTGATGATTAGAGTTATATGGTGATTGTTTTAATTTCTCTTTGATTTCTAGAATAGATTTAGAATAAAAATATTAGCTAGCTTCCAATGATGCAAGTGAAAAAAGAGGATGATATTGATGTAAGGATGTGAGTGAGGCTCTCGTCTTCACTTACACAAACTTGAGGCTCAGGTTCGAGAATTTTAGATTCGATGAGTTCTACATATACCATATATATAGTTTTTCATAATTCAATAGATTCCATATGTCTAGCTCAAGGCAAAAAAGGAGTTACAACTCCTTTTGGTCGAATAAGTAAAAATGAATTTCAGCTATCCATCATTTATATTTAACTTGTCCATACCGATTGGTTGACATAGGTTGCCGAACGTATCCGTTATAATTTAATTGCAACAGATCTCATTGTAATTCACATGATTCTGACTTTTGACTTCTGTCGTAGAAGATTGAAGGTTCTTACTATTGTATTACATTTTGCAATATTTTTTTCTTAGATCTATAAGAATTGGTAAAATTTTAATTAATGAAAAACATATTGTATATGCTAAGTTACGATCAGATCTTCATCGACATCGTCTTCTTGTTACTTATTCCGTAATAACAACAAACCTCAGATTTAATTGTTTTAATTATTCTTTTATTTTTAGATAGTGATTAAATAAAACTCGTTTGGTTCTCTGTTTGTTTCTTCTTCCTCGTTTTTTTTTGTTAGCGAAAACAAAAACAAAAACCTTATGAATTGGTCAAACGATTTCATCACATAATTTTATTGAGCAAAATATTTGAAAAGACCTTACAAATAAAATATTGAATAGGGCTTTATATGGTCAAGATAATGAATTCAATGGTATTGAAGCTAATTATGTTTAGAGAATTAAAAGAATTTTAATTGTTCAACTTGTAAACGAAATACGCGACATCCGGAATGTAACATATGGATTAGGAGCTAACGAAGAATTTGAAGCGACATTAGCGAAATTACTTTACATTTTTGATAATTCACAAGATTACATGAAGATTTGCACTAGAATATGTACAGTATTTGTTTTTCTTATTTCAGATAAATAATGGTTCATAGTATATCATCGTTTCGTGACTTGAAAAAAATGCCACAGGAGTACAAGTAAAGAAAGATATATTTTTTGGATTTGTTGTGGAAATGATTATTAAGTTTAATTTTGTAGGAACATCGTCATTCATTACCTAGACGGTTAAAAGGAAAAGGGACATTTCGCACTAACTTTTTCTTACGATCTTCAGTGACATATGTTGGTTATGATTACTTGACATAAGAGAACAGACAGGGTGTTCAGAATGACAAAAAAACCATCAAAAATTTAAAAAAACAGGGCATTGGTAATGAAAGTTGTCCAGAAGACCGTCACGAACGACGATGATCGAGTTTGACAAATAAAAACTTGAAGTTTGACTGGAGTTCGGATTGAAAATGACCGAGAAATCGTAATGAAGGTTAGGATAAATAAGATAGTGAATGTTTAGAAATCATAATGCAAACTGCAAAGAAACCTTAATGAAAAAAGACAAATTATTCGAAACTGTGTTCGTATTTGCTCTTCTTTGGGAGATGTTAAGTGACTCACTAGTTTTTATCATAAGAGGGTACACATAGAATGTCCTAATGAATTCCAACAGTCCATATTTCTATTGTTGTTACTACTGTAACTCAAGTGCTTATATTTGTCATTATTATTCCTTATATGCACATGCTTTTTATTACGAACACCATGATTGTGGAAAGAAAAAATATGTTTATTTATTATTCTAGATGAATGAATCCTATTCTTCATTATCAGAAAGAAAGAAGGAAAGAAAAGTCTTTACAATCGTTACCGATATCAGAACGAATCCGTTACGACTTTCTGGCAAATCGCATTATAAACTCTCGATCAGTTTCATTACGATCTGCAGACTTTTTCCTATGAAAAAATACCTTTAGAGTTTTATTCTGAACACCTGGTCTTGTTCATCCCCATCTCCGGACACTATATCACATATAGTAATGAGCATGCCATTTCGAATTCCTAGTCATACTCTTCCGATCTCCCTGTTTTTTTTTCAATATGATATCCCGTCCAAAAAGGGTTACGAGCTCCTATCAAAGATTTTTAAGGATAAAAATCATTTCCGAACACCGGAATATATGACCTGAGTCTGGAATGATTTAGTGCAAAATGTCCGTCAACCGATTAAAATCATCTGAGTATGTAGTTTTATTAATGCTATGATCTTTAGTTTCTTGTTCTAGTTCAAAGCGTCAAAAAAATAATGATAATATTGACAAAGGAGAATTAACAGTTAATGAAATAATGACAAATAATAGTAGAGTTAATGGAAGAAGTACAACAAAACGTGTACCACTTTCATTAGAAGAAATGCTTGAAAAAAATAAGAAAGAAAAAGAAATAATCTCAAAAGTAATTAAAATAAGAATTTTACTATTGAATACTTTTAAATTTCTAATATCTCAGCACCTTCACAATTAATTACGAAATGACTATAATGAGATATTTTCAAACATATATGAGAAAGGAAGCAACACTGAATAAATCAATAGCGAGATAAAATACGTAGGAACAGTTATAGTTATTGTAAAACCGTTCAGTTAATTCTTTCAATTACTTTTTGATTCATATTGTTATACGAATATAGGTAGTTTGATGAAATTGAAACGTTTGTGATCTTACGAAAGAACTACCCTACAATGGCGAGGCCAAGTGGGGGAGGGCGCAGAGGATTCAGTTTACTTTACAGACTTCTGAGTCGTTCTGATACAAAAATGTATTAGTGTTTACAATAAAACTTTTAAACACATATAATGTGTTTCAAGATCTAAGTTATGATCATGTTACTAAATTTTCAACTCATTTTCAGATAGTTGCTGAAAAGTCAAATCGTGAAATTTCAATCTGCAATTCAGCTTATAGATAGATCTAACAATTCTGGATATATCCTGAAAGTTTCAGTCATCAAGAATATTTATTTGTCAAGATATTGAGTTTCGAATAAATAGTCGTTCATCAAAGACATGTCACAAAAATCACGTTTACTTCGAAATTCAATGTTTCGACAAAGCGAAATTCTTTTTTTGGTTAAAACTTTTAGAATATTTCAAGAATCATTAGGTCTCTCCATAGATAATATCGCAGATCGAAAATTCATTATCATACATTCAATATGAATTTAAATGGTGATTTACAGCTCAAATAGTTCTCTCATTAGCAATCGTTCTTTTTCGTCAGTCAAAATACTAAGCAACATATGTCTATCTCAATATCTAATAATATTTATGGCGGTAATTATTAGATATGATACATTCATCGATTTTTTTTGTATTTCTCAGTCTAAACTTATAACTTAAGCAGAAGCTGAAGCCATTCGTCAATAAAATTAAGAATTACGTAAAAATATACTGCATTCAATAAGAAACCTGAAAAAATAGATGAAACAAATAATCCAACAGATCGGCCAAGTACTTCGAATAATTTTTGTATATTTGTTTTATTCTTCTCATTTATATTAATTCTCTTCTTATGACTTTTTAAATACTGATGAAGAACGTGAAGAAAGGTGTGGTATGGGTGTGCGTGATTTATTTGCAAAACGGAGTACACTCTTTTTTTTATTCATTATTCTTCTAGAATGTTGCCTTAAATGTGGTCCAGCAAAAGATGAAAAATGTTGTTGTGATGAAGATCACTGATCTGATTAGACTTTAGAAGAAATCACTGATTGAGATCGGCATATTTTCAAAGAAGATTATAATATAACAATAAGAGGTGAAAATAATCTACATTCATTACAGTCATAGAATGAAGTTGGACTTGAAAAAGACATTCTTGAAGTTATTAAAACTGCTGATTACAAGATAGTTTTAATTTTCTTAAGTGAAACAAGATCTGTGTTGTGAAACTCACAAATATTTTCAAGGAAAATATTGAATGGAAGTTTAAGTGGAAGTTTTTGCGGCTCTCTCTCCTCTCTAAAATCATTCCGTAGTTTTCCATATCAATCGGGGACCAGAATCTTCAGGCTTCTTTTCTACAGTTCTTCGGTGACGGAAAAAGGCGCTAAATGACATTAACGAGAATACTTAAACTGTTTTGAAACGCTTCGAAGCGTTCTTCAAATTTTCAATGGTTGGAATATAGAACACAATAATAATCTGCTAGAAATTTTTTACTCAATCTATTCTGCGTTGGTGTAATGAAGCTAAAGAACATATATGAATTCAATATTTCGATTCCAAAGCAGCTACGCTAAAAAGTTTTAAATTGTTTTCTACTATAGAAACCATCAACAATTCAGTAGCAAGCTATTCCAATTAGTTTATAAAATCAAAATGTGATTGGTATTGCAGAAACTGGTTCTGACAAGATAGTAAGTAAATTAATATTATCACTAGTTGATAGATAAGATAATTTTCTTATTAATGAAATGAATAAAAAGTTTTTCTTTGAAGATCTCTTGATGCTAATAATGAATCATATAAACTTATTATAGCACCAACTCGTGAATTAGCACAACAAATAGAAGAATAAAAAGAAGCAGTTAAATTCAAAAAAGTTCGAATTTCATATCCATTTGAATGCACTTATTGGGTAGTTTTTTCATTTTTTTAACGATTAAATATGACTGTCGTCTCAATTATTCATGGTTTATCTCATGAAGGACAAAGTTTTAAACCTCGACTTTCTTATCAAATTGTGATTGGTACACCAGATTCGTCTTATTGATGTACTTGAAAATCATTATTGAATATTACAACACTAATTATGTTGTTATGAATGAAGCTGATCGAATGATTGATAAGACAATTTCACTATATTTATCTATTGACCCTTATTCGATTTTTTGTATCATCGATATGGGTTTTGAGGCTAATGTTAAACGTATTCTTGAATATTTACCCGTTATAAATAAAAAACCAGATAATGAACTTACAGAAAATACAAGATAGAAGAAAAACATTTCCATGTAAAAAAGACAAACGCAACTTTCTTCTTTCTTTTGTGTTAAGAGATTTTACTTGAAAAGATAAATATCATCAATCAGTGGTGTTTGCAGCAACCATGAAACTAGTTATCGAACGTTTAGGATGTACATATTTTCATTGTCCAGCATCTATTTATATTGGTTCGTTTGTGTTTTGAACGTTGCAATGAACCGCCAATTATTCTATTTATTAATTAAAGGAAAGCAGTTGGCGTTTTGGCTATTAGTTCAGCTAAATAAGGTTATCATCCATGTACATTACACACGTCTGTAGTTATTTTAATAGGTATTTTTAATTACAAATAAGAAAAATTAAATTGCTATTTGTATTTCTATTAGGATGGAAAAGATCAAAAAAGTCGAGATTTAGCATTAGCTCAATTAAGACAAGGTCAATAGGATATTCTTGTTGCAACAGATGTTGCTAGTCATAGTATTGATATTAAAAATAGATGTCTCACTTGCAATAAATAATAATATAGCTAAGACAATTCGAAGTAAACGACAAAAACAGTTTCATACGAAAGAAAATAAATATGGCTTGAATTTTTTTAGATTATACATATTGTATTGGTCGTACAGATTAAATAGGCAAAGCGATAAGGTTTTTAATAAAAGAAAATTCATTTGTATTTTATGAATTAAAAGAAATTATGCTTGAATCACCTGTATCACAATGTTTACCTCAATTACTTGATCATCCCGATGCACAAGGATGGGGTGTGGAGTGTGGTTGAGCGTGGGTGCAGGGTGTGGGTGGCGCTGTAAGTTTGAAGGTTGAGTTTCAATAGACGACTTTGATCCGCACCCAAAACACACACCCACACCCACAATCAGTTTAGATGCTGCCATCAACCCATTATATCAATAATATTGAGTCCGCAATGTGTGCCAAATATGAAACGAATATCAAACGACGCGTCTTGATGAGTCCTATCGATTGATATGTAATTGGTACAAATATTAATACTTTGCTGACCTCGAATTCTTTAAAAACTCGTGCTGTTAGTGTCATCAACACACTATTTCAATAACATCTTCACTCCACAGTGTGGGCCAACCGTGCTACGTGTATCATTCGATGCACGTTGATGAGACCTATCGGTTGATGCGTAATTCAGGGTTAATATTAGTATTTCACAGGTGTTTTAATAATTAATATCAGCCAAATGATATAAAAAAACACAAAATCTGTCTTTGTTTGCTTTTTGCGACAATATTTGTGAGTAATGGCAAAATGTTCATTCGGTTCATTCTAACTGGGCACACATCAATTGATAGATCTCATCGAGAAAAATAAAATAATACATGCCTCTTGATTGGCACACATTATAGAATGAATATGTTTTTGAAATAGTAATGTAAGTGAGAATAGTGAAAGGAATTTGAGAGATCCTAGAATCTCTAAAGTGTCAATAGCTACACTAAATTTCACATCAACGTTCGGACCAATTAAGATTCATTGAAAAATGAAGACTTATTAATGTGATGCGATATTGCTTTGTTGATTGATGGGCATATTATGTGGTCTCATGTATCTATGGTTTTCAAGAACATTGAGTCTAGAGGTTTTACTCAGTGGGGTTGAAATACATATCATTTGATAGAGCTCGTCAACATGAACCGAATGGAATCGGTTTTGCATATGGCACAGGTTACTGAACGAATACTCACGAGAATTAGATCATAATATGGTGTTTGTTTTACGTTTTCAGAGTTTGATGGTCTCATGAGTCGGTTTGATTAGGATTTTATTGATACCATCAGAGGCAGGACGTCGAGATGCATCGAATGATGTAAATTTGAAAAGTAGCACGGCTCCTAGCTCGAATTGTTTTAGGAAATGTTAAATTTTATTATTTTTCACTGTGGTACAAGATTATGATTTGATCTATCTTTCGTTGTTTTTGATCTTAGCTGAAATTTCAAATTTACGATATGATAGAGTTTGTCGAGTTCTGTCTGGCACGTGACAATTCATACATGGCACAATTGAATAGGTGAATCGATTTGAAAAAAACTCGAATCAGATGCTAACTTCCCTTACATATATGCATCAAAGGTTCGAGAAATATGAGAATTTTTAAATGAAAATAAATTGAATAATCATGTAGTATGAAGATACATTTTTAAGTATAATGGTATGTAAGACATAATGTCCTAAACTGTTTGGCAGTTTATTTTGTGTATTTTTGCACAGTTTTTGATTTTGTTTAGAATGCGCTTACGTATTAGTTCTACTGTTAGAAGTTTTCGAACTATTTTTTTCTCATTACATTGTAGCTATTATTTTGTGCATATGTTTTGACCATGAAATAAAATACCTAAAGAAAATACTTCTAAAATGGAAATCGATCTTCAGATATTTCCAAAAACGCTTCGATAATTCAATTCAATGTGAAATTCTAGAAAAGCTCATAGAAATTCGTTTGAAACTTTCAATAGAATATTTCTTAGCATTGTTATTTTACACTCTGATAGAGATTATTGAACAAACAGTTGTCAAAACACACTTAAGACCCGATTCTTCAAAGTAATCTGATCAAAAATATTATATTTTTAAAGCATATGATATCACAAAAATTCGAAATATCGAAGGAAATCCAGTAAATTCAAAAAATATCTCTGTAGCCTTTGACATGACACTCATTTGAAACGAAAAAAAGCATCTTTTTTTATCGATAGATATTTTTCTTTGTGACGCACAATATTTCTTTTTTTGTTGATTACATTTTTAAATGATAAGACAATTAGATCAATGATCATTTAAATTGTCAAGAATAATGCAAATTGTATCAATCGAAGGCACAATAGTAATACCTTTTTTGATAAAGAATGAGAAAGACAAAAAAAATGTAATGATGAATCACTTATCTCTTTTCATGTAGATGGGCATTGATGGTATCAAAGGATAAAAGAATATTAAGCTATTTTTATTATCTCCGATATCTAATAAGAGAGTGCGTGACCATTTTCGAAGTTTATTAACTACAGAAAAAAACTAACTTTAAACATAAATGCGCTTATTTATATCCACACTCTAAAACTGAGAAAGGTACAAAGGATATTTCTCTTATTGCATTACTGTTGGTATTCTCTCAATATTATAAAGATGAATCATTTTGAAATAAATACAGAAAATAAACAAAATAATACGTAAACAAAGTGTAATATATTTATACAAATATGTTTAACCTTGACACCTGTACAAGGACATAGAAAGTTATATACAATAATACAAGAGAAATAGAAAAAGAAAAAGAAACAATTGAAAAAGGAATACGTTTTTGTCCTTGGGAGAGTGTCAATTTTGTATACTGTATTAAAGATGTTGATGTAAGCTAATTCATCCATAGTACGGTTATTGCTCACTGGTTTCTTCAGGCTGATAGTAAATTCAACGAAATGGTACAGAAAATCATAGAAGAACTTGTCTGAAGTATCAAATCTTATGCTCACATAAAAGAGTATTCTATTTTGTTTTTTTTAACAACATGATGTTCGATGATTTTAAAAAAATCTATGTTTGTGGGTCTAATATAATGAATACAATATTCTGATCGATTTCTTTTCAGTATTGATTTATGTTACGATAAGGAAAGTGGATGGTATTCGAGATAATCCTCGGGAAAGTATTATTAAAGCAGAAACGGCACAACAGTAAATCTTGCTGTGTCGCTGTTTCCAGTTTGGCTTTTGTCTTCTTAGCATTCGTTTCTTTTTGATTATCAGCATTACAGATACTTTGAACATATCTAAAGATCAACTTAAAGTATAATTTAAGTAAACAATAATTTAGAGCAGTTCAAATGAATATTATTTTTCAAATTAAATTTTGACATATTCGGATTTCAAAATAGATGGGAAATGACTATGCATCCTAAAGTATCTAGATTTAACCTTCCGTCTATGAATAATGTTTTAGTTTTCCTGAAAGCATACGTTCTAAGGAAAGAAAGTGGAAGGAGGACAAAATGATTTTTATTGTCATCGAAACATTCATACAAGCACTTATGGCACTCATATAATAAATCTAAATTAGTAACACTCTGCAACATAGATCTTGACAATAAGTAGGAAACTTTACGGCAAAAAGAAGTCACATACCAGACAACAGTAAAATACTTTATGTACATTTATCTATTAATAATACCTGTTTGATTGCTGAAAAGATTATGGCATTGTCTCAATAAAAATGTGTCCATAGATTTTGAATTCGTGTGAATAATGTTCAAAACAATAAATGACGTCGACTCTGCTTAGTAGCTCGTTAGATTTAAGTTCATATACCGAGAAGTACTTCGAAATCATCAATTCATAACATTTCACAACGGAGTAAAATATTTGAGATAATAATGAAATATATTAGTATTCAGAAATGTTAATCTATAATACTTCTTCTCTTACTTTCGTTATTATTGATTTTTCACATCCTTTTTACTTTTCTCTTTTTTTCTTCTCCTCTCTGTTGTTATTGTTATCGCTATCGACTTTTTTCTACTGAGTTATTTCTCATCTTTTTTTACGTATATATATTTGACTGTGAATTAAGATTATTTTATACTGTTTAAAAATAAAATATCGCTATGATTTAATTAGTGCGATTCGTCTCAATAGTATGAAGACCAATTACGATAGGTCGTCTTTAACATAAACTCGTTGTGTGCAATAAAGAAAGCTCCTCGAATTCATATAATTTAGCTTAAGTGATATGCAGGAATAAAAAACGTTGATATTCTTTCCCCATGACGAAAGGCTCACATTGGTATTCAAAACACTGAAGTACAATTACAATTTTCATACACAATAAAATAGCTGATCTTCAGTTTATAACCATAAATCTGATCATCCAACTAGCTCAAACGCTATTCCACCATTATTATGTCAGTAATATATTTTTAGTATTAAAACATTCCAAAATAATTCATAAAAATAAAGGTGAATGATTAATTAAAGCATTTGATTTATTTATCGATATAGTAATTAATTATATTAGATCTTATTTCGATAATAATAGTGAACCCTAAAAAGATGAGCAGAACATATTAAGTTTCTTTTCGCTCTTTGAATCACGATTTTTTTTTTCGTTTTTTCAATCGTTCTGTTGCGCATGTACACGAGTGTATACGTTTATATATGCGTCAAGGACAAATGAAAACTAAAGAAAGAAAAAAAAAATAGATGCTTCATAGAGAAAGATATGAAGAGAACGAAAGACTCTTGTTGCTTCTAGTGAAAAAAATATTTTAAAAATTTTTGCTGAAAACTTGTGGGTATGCCTTCAAGCAATTTGGTATATTTCACTCAACTTTTTATCGCTCTTTCAAATAATGTATTTTTTCTGTTAGATTCTTCAGAAAGAGAAGGATCTGCTTGTAGTTGTGAATTTTAGACAGGCAGCCTAGAACATGTATGAAAATATTGTTTGAGATTGGATTGGCCAAGATTATGCTAAGGAAGGAGAAATGATTGGGATTGAAATTAAAATATTTCGTCAATTATCAGCAATGCATGCTAAACATAAAAAGGTGACTATGCTGTATAGCGCACATGTTAAGCAATATTTGACCTGAATGTCATTCTTTATCAATTCAAATACACGCATTTACATTTAAACATCAAGCTTTTATTACCAGGTATATATTGGCTGTATGATTCTTTATTTTCATTTATACAACAACGTCAAAATATTATCGCGTTATTGCATTGCACCATACGCACATTTTTTGCGACAAAT